GGAAGGAGAACACAACCTTTAATTTCCCACCATAGATTGCCTCGCTTTAGAGAGATGGTCTAACTCATGGCAGTATCCCTTACTCTTATGAACATAGGCCAGCTTCAGAGCACTTTTCAGCTGATTGAGGTGTTATGTAATTGCACCAATTACATCCAATTACATAATTAGAGTAAATAAGTAATAATATAATTAGGTGCTGTAATTATGTAGTTATGACAGGTAGAACTAATGCTGATAAAATCCATTATGAAACTTATCACGAACTGTGGACAGAGCACGCGAGAACAGAACTTTTAGGGTTTCGTTTGCTAAAGCCTTTCATTCTTCCAATGGGCAAAATAATTAATTTAATTACCATGCCAGTAGTCTTTTATTTTTGCAGATGAATGGAGGCATAAATCATTAGCTAACTGGTATCTCTCTGTTTTGCTGCAAAAAAAATCAGTAACTAATTGTACATTTTTTGCCTCCATCTATCTATTTACAGCTACCAAAGCTTAGGTGAAATCTGCATGTACACATTACACCTCTGAAAAGAGAAGTCTAAAAATTTGGACGTTAACCTTCACCGTTCCAGTTATCGCATTAAACTGTCTCCTCTAACAAATGGACACAGGAAACATTCCAAGATTGCTGTATCGATGTAATACAAGTTATGTGCATCTCTCTGGGCTTGCTAGGGATGGTATTTCTGGTCAAACGGGTCAGATAAGAAGGTTTTTTCTGCAGGAATGAAAATTCAATAGAGGAATCATTCATGCAGGTTCTCAGCGCAAATGTAAGGCATGTAGCCAGCTTTTCAAAGTTTGCCTGCTTGGATATTGTGTAATACCCATCTGACTTCATAAAAGACGCCTGGATAACAAACCAATAACAAAACCTACATCCCTGATTTAATATTCATTAGTATTTCACCTGATAGCTGATGTAAGATAGTGTGCAAGAAGAACGGGCATCACTGGAAGATCTGAAGTGCTTTATTCCCACCAACATCTCCATACAATAACTGTCTGAAAAGCTAGAAGCGTATAAACTCTGTGTTGTTTTATCCTTGGTGCTTTTTTCTAAAAAGAAAAAGGGGAAAAGGAAAAAGAACACCTTGCTTTATGAAAGCTGGATAGCTACTGATTACTTCTGCCACTGCTCAGAGCAGTATGTCAAATGCTGAAGCAAATACAGAGCTGCTGAGACTATCAAAATCACAGGGAATTGGAGTTTGTAGCCGAAGTCCACAGTCCAGAGGAAGAAAGCAAAAGAATTCCTCTGCCCCAAGGTCTTCCGAGGCCAGAGACAGGGAAGATAATGCGAATGTCTTGAAATAAGCCATCCCTGGAACAGAAGTACAAGCAAACTTGGAAACCTGTAAAAATACTGCCTTTGAATGAAGGGTGTGTACAACATCACCTACAAGTATCCTTCCCCCTCCTGAACTGCAAAACTGGGAAAGCAAAGTTAAGACGCATAAATGATTCCCGTCCCTTTTGGCACCTAGACTTTCAAATAATATTCCAAAACAAAAAAAATCATAATGTTCTGGTTTTTTTTTTATTTTTTTTCCAGTTGTGCTATCAGAAAGTCCTCAAACCAGATGCTTCACTGTTTGCTGGACAAATGATATATAAAAAAGACTGAGAGTCATAATACAGTCATATTTTGGGGTTCTCATGGGTCTGGACAATAGTCTTTTCTATCAGACTATCAAAAAATACAGATGTCTTTTCTGCAGCTTACTTAATACTGGTAACGTTTCCAATGTTACTTTTTGCAATACTCTGCAAGACAGTAGCAGACAAGTGCAAATAATAATTGATTCCTACAACTACAGTTGTAGGGGTACTGAGGACAATACTTGCAGCTAAATGCAAGTAGTTATATGAAGTTAATACTCCAAAATTTTGCATACTTGAAAATTTTGACCTACTTGTATTTAAGGATGGATCTGAGCCTTGCAGATTGAATTTGGGTAGAAATTCTAAGTAATCAAGCTGTGAAAACACAGAACTTGGACTTGACCCATTGAAGCTACAGAAGCAGCCATAAAAGGCATACCTAACCATAATAAAAACTGGTAGAGTTAAAGAGAGCTTTTCCAGGGGTATGACTCAGGGATTTTTTTCGGCCATATTCTGTATCACCTAAAATATAAAATCTCATTACACCTTGTGCCCTTCAAAGAGGTCCTGAGACTGCCCTGTTCTTCCAACCACCCTATTTTTATAATATTTTTTGCATTCCGATATAGTCCCAGTGGGCCTTATTCAGCAATGAGTCAGTCCCACTGGCAAGACCCAGTTGCCTTGTGAAAGGTTAATTTCAAGTCTGCCTCTCTTGTGCCAGATCCTAACCAGAACTTGGTCCCTTACCAGGGACTTGGTCACTCAGCTTTCAGCCCGCCACAAAGTCTGAATCAGCTTCTCTCTCTGTCTTCAGGACAAAAAACGTACCTCGGGCGCAATTTCTGCATGCAATGTAGTACATCTCACATGCTCATTGTGTAATTTCACCACTACCGTGCTGTGTTTGAGACACACCAAACGTACACTACATTAGCTCATGTGGCCGACAGCTGCAGAACTACCTCTTGAGTGTTTTCCTTTTGACTCTTCTTTAGGTCCTGAGCAAAGTTGTACGTCTAAATCTCTTCCTCCAGTTGAATATCATACTTTCAGAATCCTCCACTCTTTCAGTCAGATTATTGTCTTTAATTTCTTAGGATTCCTTGTACATGTGGCATACAGAAATCTCACTGGCTCAAAGAGAGAGCTCTTTTTTGTTCACTTAAGCAGTTCCAATTGCTTCTGCTATGCAGCACGGGTATTTCTAGAGCACACCTTCCCCAGATTTTGTACTGGAGAATTTAAACTATACAAAGATACAATTAGTAATCCCACAGTAGCCCCTTATAGCTTGTTGAAACATTGGTTTCTCGTTTTCTTCCCCACTCCTCCATTGCCTCTTCCATTCCATATAAGCTTTACTCTTCTAGGTCCATATGTACCTCTCCCATCATCCAGAACAATTATTATATGTACTCATAGAAAAAACCCTCAGAGAGTTTAATAATCCCAAAATCTGGATCACTGCAAACCACTTAAACCACCAGCATCTTGCCACAGAGGAACAGGGGCTGTGAGAAATCAGTTCAACGCTTGAGGCCACATGTGTCTTGGTGCTTTTCTGTTAATATTTTAGATACAGAAACAGGAGTTCTCACCATTAATGCAAACGTAAAATACATTAGTGAATTACATCAGAAAAGTCAAACCACTGCTGCCACAGGATGAACACACTTATTATGAATATTAATGCATCCCTTGGAATTAAACATTAATACTTAACATACATAATTGCAAAGTTTAAAATCATACAAACATTGCAGGGAAATGAAAAGGAGTAGAGTAGGAATAGACTATTGATTCCATGAATTAAAGGGCCTTTCTGAGACAGGCTAAAATATTTTCACGCATAAGAAGACAACTTGCCACTATGAATAATTTCTTCTAACAAAACAGAGGATACAAGCATCTGTTTTTGTTTTTCTATCTTGCCCATCATACTGCAGAAGTGCAGATCCATTACTGCCTAACAGTACAAATGTCCAGAGCTGGTCAATGAGACTGACACTGCAAAATGTTGTTCCTCTGTATGTGAGCACTGAATTCCCATCAGCTGCCACACCACCTTCCCATGTAGCAGTAACAGCGCTTACAAAAGCTCCATTTCGTCACAGCATTCAAGTATGCACTCCTGTCTAAACACAAGCTGCTCCACTAATGTAAGCTCTTCAAGGTAAGCTCTGCGCAAGCCTGTGCAGTGGTTGGGAGTCGTTTCCTCTAATTTTAGCCAGCTCCCAATTAGGCATCTTCTCTGAACTAATCATTTAGGCTCTCAATGGAGTGAGGAAAGTGATGCCAGAGTGAGTCACACCAGCTATCCTAGACACCTGTCTTAAGGCAGGATAAATAACCCAGATTTCCGCACTGACAAGGCAGGGAGCTCGGGTCGATTTCAGCCAAGTGCCTGACCTGAAAACAGACGAAGTTAGAGGAGAAGAACCTTTCTCTTGGCTAAACTGAGGTCTAAAAGGGCACCCAGCATCTCACTAGTGAGGCTGGGGAGAATGGTTAATCGAAGGCCCGACGAGGAATAAAACATCAGATACTCTGAGTAAGAAATGTGGCTCCAGAAATGCATGAACAGCAAAGCCTGATCCACATTCGGTTATACGCTCCTCTGGGATTCAGACATATGCCAGCTCTACACCCACAGGCCCTGGCACAAGCCCTGAGCAGTGCAGTACCTGCCAGGAAGTCTATGGAAAGAAAATGCTGCACCAGAATATCCCAGCAGGTAGGAAACTCTTCAAAAATGAAGCCTCAAGCCAGGCAGCCTTTATAATCCATCCCTCTCCCTCACCAGAATGAACTTTCTGTGGTAGCAGGCTGGAAATTAAATGTTAACTGAACATCTCTCTGCCCTAGTGTCATCAAATTTCTCTCTCTGAATCCAAGTCATACTCTCACTGCTTCACGAGGCAGTTTCTGTAGCTCTTCAAACCCCTGCAGCAGCTCTTCTTGGTCTTTTCAATAGCTTGCTCAGAGCAATCATAGGAGAAAAGCACTAGCCCTCGACACCGACCTCGTGTTTCACTGTTAAAAATTTTTCTGGACAGCAGCCCAGAGATACTGGACAAAGCAGGAGCAGCAGCAGATGTTATGATGCATGCTCTTCTGCCCCTGGTTTGGCTAATGAGGCAGCAGAACCCACAGAGCATGAGACCATGAATGCCAAACCGGAGACTGTGGCCTGTGCCTTAAGCTTTTTCATTACATTTAAGACTGAGCCTTGTTGCAGACTGTAAGACACGTGAAAAGATCTTTAAGAATACAGATCAATGCCACCTATTGTTCAGAGAGAGGGAAAAAGAACAATATTGTTTGCTTGAGCTGCAAGGAGCACCTCTCGGTTGCATAAAGCACGTGCCCAAATTGACTTACCACAATCATTTGTGCCACGTAGCTCTCCGGGCCAGTGTATTCAGTCGGATCTTTAACTTTGACAAGAACGATAAAGTACAAATAGTGCCACATGTTGTGTTCTGACTTTATATGCTCCTCAAACGAAACGGTCTTGTTATCAAATTTGTCTCTTTCCAGTCCTGCAAAAAGCCATGAACGTAATGTAAAAAAATTCATTTCAACATAAAAATACCCCAAAATGTTAAATATGTTAGAGAAAGGAACCTAACTTAATTTAAAGGATCATAAATATGAAGGATCTTAATTTAAAAGCTATAACCGCACACAGTAACTGGCAGGCAAGAAATACCAGGCCAGAAAAAAACAGAATTCTTTCGGCACAGCATTTGTTCTCTTTTGTGATTTTTCTTCTTAATACCAATAACAGTATAATAAATACATTACAGTTTTACAGTGCCTCCTATGCCGAGGGCTATAAAGCGCTTTACAAGTGTTGGCTCTGATTCTTTTTAAATGTATACTGGTAAGCAGACAGCGCACAATCTAGGTCCCGATCTTGCACAGATTTATGCATGCATTTAGCATCAAGCATGTGAATAGTCTCACTTAAGCTGCGGTGGGATTGTTTGTGCACTTAAACCTAGCAGAGAGGGTGAGTCTCTGCAGCTTTGCAGTCACACAGTCTTTACAGAGCTGTAGTCATAAGAAATTTTATTTTTATTCCTGTAACAGGTCAAATCTCTGAAGAAGAACACCACGGTGGGGAAGGGCAGGATTCACAAATGTTTGCTGCCGCGTTACAGCTTTCCATGCTGGATCTCTTGCAGAGCCTTCCGCAGGCACTACAGCTGTTGTGCTCTGCACAGCGTTCACCCCTGTCAGTACAACCATGGAAACAACATCCAGCCTACAAAAAAGAAGATACTTCTAAAGTCCCCTAGCGGAATGAAGGTCTGCCCTTCTTTGTGAGCTCACCTCAAAATCAGTGTGATTTATCCATGGGGTTTGTGGGGACAATTTTCATTTAATTCTTTTGTTCCCTGCTTCACCTTCTGAAACAGGTGGATTTTGCTGTTGTTACCCTTCTAGAATGCACTGTGCTGTGAAATGGCAAGCTGTACTTTCATCTGCATCACGCTTTGTGAAATAAAGTCAGCAGCTGCACCATCTCCATTAGTGGTGATGATGCACGTGTGAAACACGGCTCAGATCCTGGGTGGAGACTGTGAAGCTACCTCTTAGCAAAGCTAGCTTTTGACTCCTAAACCACATCTGTTTTGTGCTAAGAGGGCATACATTTGGAACCAAACTGACATTTTTACAGACTTGCCTTGTAGAAGATAACCACCCCTTAGGTCCACGCTTTATTTATTGAGGAATAGGTCATTTTACTTCAATGTCTCAATACCTCAGTAGCACCTACCACAGATGAAACAAGTTGTCTTTAGTATTTCTTCCTTTTTCTGCTTTTCACTCCTGAGATCAGCAAATGTATCAATGATGACTCCAAAGATTAGGTTTAGAACAATAATTATGACAATGAAGTAAAACAGAAGATCATAAACAACTCGTGCAGCAAACAAGGGCTCCTGAAACAATAATAAGGTTGCAATAAGATATAAAAATAGCACACCTCTGAAATATTAAACAACATTTTCACATTAGCACAAGCTATGCATCTTTCTTTTCATATGCCAAATTCTGCTAGCCTAACTCACACAAATAGAGAGGGACTATCTATGTGACTAAGCAAAGAAGATTCGGCTTCGTGTGCTCTTATTGCTCTGGAACTCCTGTTGTTCTTTATGTTGTTTCACACAGCACGAAGCAGAGTCTAGCTGGTGTACTGGATGCAGTGTAGAGGCATTAGTGTAGTGGCAAGGGTAATTTTCAAAGTCTGTGTCTACAGGCTTCGTGAGCATGGACTACGGTTCCTGCAGAACCTCCCAGGCTATGAGATAGGACCTAGATTCCTATTACCAGCACAAGGATCTCTCCCATCCAGATCTGAGTTACCTGTCTCTGGACTCCTATAAACCCTGCTGAGATTCTACTTGTGAATTTAATTCTTGTGTTAAGGTGTGGCTCATCAAGCAAAGTGCTGCTAGATTGCCTTTATTTATGATGTTCTTTTTGAATATAAATAAAAATGCATAAATGCACCCAAATATTAAGAGAAGCCCTTAAATAAATTGAATTTTGTAGGAAACTTCTGGAAGAGGACATATAACACGATATACGAAATTATGTTTTGACTTCGATGCTAGTTGAGTACAAGTAAACAATAGGACCTATTTGAGGGCAGATGCCATGCTGAATTTCAGCTAAAAATACACCTCTTATACTGCAGTGCTGAGTCTTGACATACAAATATCAGCTAATCAATCCCTTTCAAAAGTTTGCATTTATAATTCCTAGTGCAATGGAAGAGCGATCCGTCCCAGGAACACTTCTTAGTAGTGCTTGGAAGGTATAATATGCTCCAGTTTTCCAGAAGGAGTAAACCACTACCTAGCGTTCCTTTCTTCAAGTATCATCATCACACCAAGTTCAGCTCTTTCCATTAAATATTCCATCTGGGATGTAAAAATTACAGGGATAAATCAACTGTGTGACATTAGAGCAGACTAGATACAAATACAGTCTATAACGTCCAAAGACTGACTTTGGCATTCATGAGATGCACAGGGAGTAACGTATTTCCTCAGCCAAAACACTTACATCTTTGGACGGTTTTCTGAGCACGTCTCCTACACCACCACCATTTCGCAGGCCTTGGTTTAATACGGTCACAATGCACATGAGCAGGGTGTCGCATGTCCTTTCTGTTCCGTCCTCCTCCTCTTCACCTGCAAACCGGAGAGCAGCAGCTTTAGGAACTGCAGCATCAAATGGTCACTTGTCAAACAAAGCCACAATTCTGTGTTAGAGAACTGCAATACACATCTGCCTTTCACATTCTTCAGCTAGAATTTCACTGATCATCCCCATCCATTTGCACATCGCTGCTGGTGACATACTTAGGCACATCAGGCGTACTTTGCCTGAAGAGAGACAGAGAAAATCCCAAGCAGTTCTCCCACCAGTAACTCTGTTAATGACCCAGAGCTGCCATCTCTGTTCACGGGAGTACCCCTTTTCCTTACAAGTACTCCCACTGGTTTCAGCAGAACTGCTTTTCCAGTGAACCTCCTAAGTGCACAGCTGACACACAGAGGAGAAGCAATATAAACACAGAATTAGAAGCACATTTGTAAAAGGATTGTCTTCCTGTGAAATCATCCCTCTACCTACCCCCTGTACAAGCCAAGTCATGTTAGCATTGCAAATCATCAAGGAGAGGCTGGCTTTTATATGAGTAAATCTGTCCGTGATCTTTCCACTAGCACACATGTCCAAGCGCAGGCCTGATATACATTAAACGACAGACACTCCCTGACCTCAGCTTGAAAACTTGGATTCTATTCTTATCTCTGCTGCGGAGCTGCTGTGTGGTTTTGGCCAAGCCACAGAGGGTACTATTGTGCAGGAGATATTTGAACGTGCAGAGGAGCTGGGCTGGAACACCAGTCCCCAGGGGGGCACTTTGTCCACCCTAGCCAGAATTCCTCCCACCACGCACTCACCCCCATGCTGCGGCTGCATCAACAGCCTTCTTTTGAAGAACCCTGCTTGAGTTGTTCCCTGTGTCCTGCTGGCTTCCACTGAAGGGTCAGGACTGTGACTGCCGTTCCTCCTGTCTCCTCTTCTCTTTAGGGATACGTTTGCTTAAGTGGTGAAGGCAGCGGTTCTCACTTGGTTTGTTGCATGCACTTATTTAACATAGTTTAATAAAGAACAACATCCTGCTGCGATAGTTAACTGAAACAGCATATTTAGCAGCCCCAAACTACCACATCTGGGGCACTGAGATAGACTTTGATAAATTAAATTGACTGAAGGCACTCACATTACAAGACAAGCAATTTGGATTTAAAACATGGGTTCCCAAATTGCGGTGTATGCATCATGATTGGTATTTGCAGAACGGAGCTGGTGTCTGCTGCCTCTGCCACCATTGCTTTTACTACGCTAGCTAATTAAATGAGAAAGAACTCCCGATTTAAGGAACTGAGTAAAAAGAAAAGCAAAAGCATCAGGATAGACTTCCTTATTAAACTTTACAGTCATTACAGATGCTACTACCACTAATAACTCAAGATTTTTTTTTAAAAAATGCTTTAATATTGAAACTTAAAGAATTGAAACAAGAAAACCTGTTTTTCTCTGTCACATCTGAAAATTTTTTACTAGCACTGTGATCTTACTCATGCCAATTCATCTCCCCTCCTTTGGTACCCTGCCTTTATTTCCTCCTTTCAAATATTACTCCATTAATATATTTGGAGCTAATACTTGTGCTTGAGAGGATGTCTGTCCACAAGACAAACTAAAAACTTCTATACAAGTCACAGCTTCTATTTTATTTAGGTATCTACAGAATGAGATTTTCACTGTTGACAAGACCAGGGTCGGGTGCTGCAAACAGCAGATGATCAGATTCTGGTGAACAGCTAGGATAAACCAGGGCTACAAACTGGAAGCTGGAACATCAGAGAGAGGTATCTGCAAGAAACCCTAACTCACACATCTCTGTGTCCACCAAGATCCAAATTCAGAGCATGCCCATGCTTCAGAGAGACACAGCTCATCAGGTGACTGGCACATCTTACAACAGAGAATCAGCATCCCACATTGCACCAAGAAGAGCAAGCTCAGGTTGCTCTTTGCCAGAGATTCAGACAGCAGACAGCCTGAAGTTGGCAGAAACCTCCAGTGCAGTAATGTCAGCTGTGGGGAGCGTACAGATACTCGTGTTTCTAGCCTACTTTCACTCCCAGACATGTAGCAACAAGAGCTGCCCTTAATCTGGAAGCTGGATAACCCTGTAGGCACTTGTTCTGCCCCAGCTGCTTTGCTCTGGTGCTCAGCAGTGCTCATAGCCCGGAGTCAGCTCCTGTCGACACAGGCTCTGCCCGTACTACCAAAAGGAGTGGATCGGTGGAGTAAAATTGCTGCTTAGCGCCCAATGTCAACACTACATAGAATCATAGAACAATTCAGGTTGGAAAAGACCCTTGGGATCATCACCCTACACTACAAGTTCACCCCTAAACCATATCACCCAACACCACATCTAAGCAACACCTGAACACATCCAGGGATGGCAACTCAACCACCTCCTTAGGCAGTCTATTCCAGTGTCTTACCACTCTTTCTGTGAAGAATTTCTTCCTAATGTCCAGCCTAAACTTGCCCTGTTGCAACTTGAAACCATTCCCCCTGGTTCTGTCCCTAATTACCTGTGAGAAGAGACCAGCACCAACCTCTCCACAATGTCCTTTCAAGTAATTGTAGAGCATGATGAGATTCCCCCTCAGCCTCCTCTTCGTCAAACTGAACAGACCCAGCTCCCTCAATCGCTTCTCGTAAGTTCTGTTCTCCAGGCCCCTCACCAGCTTTGTTGCCCTGCTCTGCACTTGCTCCAACACCTTGATATCTCTCTTATACTGAGGTGCCCAAAACTGAACACAATACTCAAGGTGCGGCCTCACCAGTGCTGAGTACAGAGTGACAATCACCTCCCTTCTTCTGCTGGTCACAAAATTACTTGCAACCAAGTCTAGGCTGGTGAGTGGCCCATTAGCAGCTAAACAGCGTTAGGCAGGTTGTCTTCTGATTAACTCAAAGGTAACGTAGATTAAGCACTAAGACCTCCCCACAATATTGATCACAGGGTAGTAAGTGGGATGACAGGAAGTTTCACTTAAAAAATCCTCATCTGATGGCCCCCAGCTAATTGGCTTCTGGGCCTGATCTCCAACACAAGCACTGGCAGGGAGACAAACAGCTGCCCACGTGGATCTAGCTGAACTTGCACAGAGCAGTGTCAGACCAGGGAGTGGGACAAGTCTTTGAAAATGTCCCCTTTTGCAAACTGTGCACCTTTCTAGCACAAGTTTTTATGGGCTACAGAGCACAGAGAGCTACGAACAGTAGGGTACGAAGTTCCTTTAAGTGATTTAAGTGCTTCACCAGGCAAAGACTTAAGTGATATTGAAATGCCATTGGAGTGAAGAGTGGGAGACTCCAAGAAAGATGAGGCAAATCGTTTTTGTGTTGACAGCTTAGAGCAGCACTGAGGAAGCAGGCTGTAGACAGGAGATGCTCTCTGAGCAGAGCAGACCAGCTCCCAAGTCCCTCACCCATAAAAGTAATGGCTGAGCACATGTTCAACCAGTGAAACTCAAGGCAGAAGCACAGTCTCACCAGAACAAATGTTTAGTGGTAATCTGATGTGAAGAGCAACTTGTATGTCCTCCCTGGACCTGAGATGCCACCGAGAATATTTTCTGTTTTCTACACGCCACTACAAAGTAAATCCCACTAAATCTCAATCCTTTGCATTCAACCACACTCATGCTTTTGCCTGAAGGGAGATCTGTCCCAGAAGACATAAGGCAGAGAAGTACTTTTTGACAGGTGATTCACTGGCTAAGAGGAGCAAAACTGTTCTTCCTGACTGGTGTTTTTTTAGTGTTACTGGATAAATTACACTTCTCAAAGGTTAAGTGACAGTGCATTTACATGTTTTGTATCATCCCCTTTCATTATTGTTTAATTTTTAAGAAACAGTACCCAAACAATAAGAAATCTGAGATTTCTACCATTTAAAGAGCTTGGCAAAAGCCACACCACTTCTCCTTTGACTGATTGATTACTCTTTGAATGCAGCAGCTTTGCCAATAGCTCTTAAACTGTTTTCTCCATCTAGTCAGACAGCTTCCCATGTTGTTTATGAGGCATTATTTACACCCCAGCTGGGGAGAAAAAGTCTACTTTCATAGCCCTCTCCCTGAAGCCCTTGATCCTAAAACCTCAAAAATTAGTGGTGGAAGAATAAGGCTTATGAAACAGCATTATATTGGAATACAGTATAAGAAGGGACCCCTTACGCCTTCAGTTTCAGCCCCCAGCAACCAGAAGTAACTGCAGTAATAAATACAATTGCAAGAAAAAGTATGGGAACCTTTTGGAATTTCATGGTGTTCTGCATTACTTTCTCATAAAATGTGATCTAACTGTGATCTAAGTCAAGAGTATTGACAAATGTAATGTGCCTGTGCTAAGCTCAGCCCCAGTAACTCTTTACAACATAGTAACCTCATTCTGGATCTGGGCTCTTCGGTCTTCTGGCTACACTACAACGTTGGCCTAGATGCGTGCAAGAAGTATACACAAAAGCAAGCTGATACATCCTATGCCATTAAAATCAACTGACATGGCCCTAAATGGATCTAATGGTGGCTCAGTGTGTGCAGGTGAGGATGCTGCAGACAAACAGTAAGCTTTTTCTCTCAGCAAAGTCAGTTGGAAAGAAGCAACCTGTACTTTCGAGCGTAATGATTCAGCAAGCTCTTTTAATAACAGAAGTAATGTCAGTGCAATTCAAAATCAGGGGTGGGAAGCACACTCGCATTAAAGGCAAGTTAAGCTCCAAGCCTTGCAGAAACTGAGCACTTCTGACTTAGGGCACCCATAATCACTTCTCAGTCTAGCAAAAGTCTCTACAATAATAACATACAAATACCTGTTCTAATTGATCATCAGGCTGGGGAAACTTTTGTACTAACCTGGGTTAATAATTGGGATGCTTGTGGAACAGTTCTCTTTCGCACAGGCTCCCATCATTGATGTGAGAGTTGTAGTGGGGACTTCACCAATACCTGTGGAAAAAGCAGGATATTGACAAAAAGACAGATAGCTACATTGATACTAAGTTTTAAATCATTATTTTCTAGAAGCAAATCACTGAGTTGCAAAGTTGAGAAGTAGAACAAATTATACCACTAGTTCCTCCTTCCTCAGTCTGCTTCAACAGCTCAAAGCAATCACAAGGAACAAAAACACAGTTTTACATTTGCTGTATATCACAGCTATTCCCATTTCATCTCCTGAAATTAATGAATCCACATCAAATGCTGCTACTTCTGGTTAGAATAAAATATATTCAAAGCAAGAAACAACTGTCAGATATGAAAATAATGTCAGTTTTAAAACCATTAGATAAATTATTCACAAAAGCTGACAAGCAGGACACCAAGCTGATGTTCAGTTATCCTGAATGTAGAATATTTAAGAGTTTTCAAGGATTATAACACAGTTTGGTACTCATTTGTAAATACGTATCTGTTTGTGTAAAACACTAATTTAACATTCCCAAAGTGGGTAAATGTGTACATCAGCTTGATTTTATCAAACCAATTTTCTCCTGTGCATCTTCAACAATTTTCTGCATTTCAAATCAGAGATACAAAATGATTTAAGGAGCAAAAAAATGAAGGCAAAATCATACAACAAAAGTAACAGTCTAAGATAATCAGTGTAACAGGGAAAACACTTGCTCCAACTTTCTCTTTGTGCTACTTTATAAAGAAAATATTTAAAGCACTTGTCTTGGGATGCATAATGTTCCATTAGTAACCAGTCAGAACGTTGTCTTGATGAGTTCTTGATCAGGAATGGCAACGTGTAAAGCCAAAAAGAATATGCCCACACCAAAAGTCTGCCAAGAACCCAACAGAAGAAACACAAACACAAAGGTACTACTGCACCGGCCCAGGCCAGTGCTGCCCACAGCCTCGCATCCGTTCTTCCTATGACGGCCACAATTATCTTTCAAAGAGAACCTTCACATCTTAAGTTGTGTCCCAAAAGTGGATGGTAAGTCAAATACGAGGACATAGCCCTTTTTAGATGGTCAATGGCAAAAAATGAAGGTGTGTTAAAGAAATCCGTCAGGTTCCTTTTTTTTCCCATATGGTATCAAAACAGCTACATGAGTATACCGTGGCCACAAGTCTTGAATGACCTTTACCTTATTTGTGTGGTTTAGATCCTGAAATAACAAATTTAGGAAAAGGATAGCACCACGTGCACACAGTCCAGGATGGATTCTACTTGTTGTTCTGTGCTTGTGTACAGGTCTGAAGAGGTGAGCATTTGGGAAAATCATGCCTCTAAGAATTTAATCACAAGCTATTCTCAGGTATTTCTAAGCATATGCCCATAGTCTCAGCAGGTTGGCTGGCAGCGTATACAAAGAACTCAACAGACCAGATCTATTTTTTTTTCTAGCAAAGAGATTTAGCAACATTTTACCACATTGGTAAAATCTCTAATTCCAAAAAGCTGAAATCCTGGCCTTTTAGAAAGTGATTAAAACTCTCCAAATTATTTTACTATGAATTTGCTATCATACACTAATGGTGATGTTCATGAAATACACACAGAATTTTAAAGATGCTCTTCGAAACCTCCTATCAGTAGAAATGTCGATTCTGTAATAAATTTCTGCTGGATGAAGCTTAAAAAGCTATTTCATCAAATGAATACATATACTGAACACGTTAAAACCACATGCCTCATATAATGCACAGAAAATACTATGAGCTGCTTTTAAGGTGGGATGAGAACCAATAGAATCCACTTTGAGTTGCTCTTCCATATACTTAGGAAACAGAGTGTTATAGAGTTTTTTTAATATTAGCATGAGTTTGAAAAGGGAAATAAAATCAAAGATAATGTTAGATTTTAGTATTTCAACAGATACGTCTAGTCTAAAACAACCCTATACATGTTATTTTTACCCAGAGATTTAATTGAGTTCTAAGGCAAACGGAATTAGTTCTGCCCTCACAGATACAAAAAAAAAGAAATCTATTTTCTTAGATGAAAGTTACATTAGGCAGATAGAAAAGGTGTATGTTGGAAGCAAATTAATATAAAAAACAATACCTGCAATAGGGGTCCTGATTTTCAACCTGTCGACCTCCATGATAAAGTCGTCTTTCAAGAAGAGGAATCCAATGATGGAGAAGAGATAAACTAGGATGAGTGCTAGCACTGCAGTGAGAATAATGGAACGACCATTCCGGGTAACACTTTTTATCACATTTAGCAGTGTCTCTTCTCTGTATACCAGATCAAACAGCTGAGAAAAGCGTAGCGCAAAAATGAATACAAATCAGGCAATATACAGATGCTCCATAGGAAAACAATCTGAACAACTGAAACATACATCTAGCAACTTTCTAAAATCTGAGCTTCATAAACACACAATCCACATTAATTTAAATAGGACCTGGGCATGTTTATAGAGGGAGAAAAACTAGCACTTTAGGAGCATGATCCAGATGTGGGTAACGGTTACCAACAAGATACATTGTTTCCCCATGTTCAAACCCAAGTCAGATTAAAATTAAAAAACAGTGTTTTCATACTGCGGATCTATACCTACAAATTAATTTTTCATGTAATCTCTCATCTGATAAACATGCTTGGGTCACAAATCAAAAATGCACTCACACATGTAAGTAATTACACATCTGTGAACAGATTCTCTGAGCTCATGGTATCATTTAAAAGTCATATGTACAAGGATTGGGGCCATCTCTTTTTAGGGCAAAATTAAATTCATTGCATTGTGTGTATAAAACTGGAAATTCCTATTCCTCCTTACCCTGCACTATACGCTTTCATGCTATTTAACTTTAAAGAAAAATACACATTAAGAAAATATTTCTTTAAATGTCAAAGGCCTAAACCAGCAATTAAATGTGAAAAAAGCTTTTCGAGAAACTATAGGTTTTTTTCTCTTGCAATTCTATCAATGTTCTGTAGTGCTTTGGACCTTATCTATAATGCATGTATTTCCACTCCAAAACACTCAGATTACAGATATAAAGTGACGCGCTATGATTTATCAGAATGGTTCACAGAAGAAGGTATTAGCTGCAATTCACAAGATCTGAAATCCACAGCCTTGTGAAAGGATTAATAATAAAGGAAGAAAGAGGGAAGACAGGTTGGCAAAGATCTTTATGATCCTTGAGTCAAACCATTAACCTAGCAATGCCAGGCCCACCACTAAACCATATTCCTAAGTACCACGTCTCCGCGTCTTTAAATACCTCAAGGGATGGTGACTCCACCACTTCCCTGGGCAGCCTGTTCCAGTGCTTGACAACCCTTTCAGTGAAGAAAGTTTTCCTAATATCCAATCTAAACCTCCCCTGGTGCAACTAGTGGCAATTTTCCTTTTGTTTTTTTCATTTGTTACTTGGGAGAAGAGACTGACCCCCACCTTGCTACAGCCTCCTCTCATGTAGTTGTAGAGAGTGATAAGGTCTCCCCTGAGCCTCCTCTTCTCCAGGCTAAATCTCCCCAGTTCCCTCAGCCTCTCCTCCTAAGACTTGTTGTCTAGACCCCTCACCAGCTTCGCTGCTTTTCTCTGGGCTCAATTCAGCACCTCGATGTCTTTCTTGTAGTGAGAGTCCCGAAACTGAACACAGGATTCAAGGTGTGGCCTCATCAGTGCCGAGTACGGGGGGGCGGAAATCACTGCTGTGGTCCTGCTGGCTACACTGTACTATCTGTATCCTAATATCTGGCCCTCATTTTAAGCTTTGCCTTGAATGTAATGAATGATAAATATTAGAGTTGAGTATATATCCACTACAAAGTGGAACGAACTTTAGAAAGTAGACAATTATAACATCCATGAGTCATGGACATTGGCCTAGCAGTCACTGAAAAAGTAAGTACATAGAATGTTTCTTAAACTACTTGGCACTTTGGAAAGTATTTTAAGGTAGAGATCACCTTACTCACTGAAGGAATAACTGATAATTTACTGCACATTTTTTATGCAGGAGAGTTACATCCATTTAAAGAGGGTCTTGCAGCTACAACCACAAAATCCTGGCTCCTCTGAAACCGGCCCAAACTTTGAAGCTGACTTTAACATCAAGATCCGTAAAACCTGACTTTAACAGCGGTTCTACCAGAGTAAGGACTGAACCCCTGAAAATTTTAGTGTGCTTAACACACCACTGTGAAATGCTGGGAGTCCACCACTATTCAGGAAGCAGAGAAAAATACAACAGGAAAGTGAACCCATGTGAAATGACCACAATTTAGTTAGTCTTTAGTTAGTTTCACACGTTCCAGTATAAAGCAAAAGGATAAGAAAACAAGAACAGTGAAACACCTTTTTCTGCTATTCAGCATGAAGGGAGCAGTTAGCTGAGTTTAGCATAATTTTGTATGATTCATTTTCATTGCACCTGTATCATATTATAAAAAGGCATTCCATCCGGGTAATGGCAACAAAAGAAAACGTAGTGAGATACATTTGAGTGATGAATCTTCTTGCTACATCAGAGGCATGCCAACTCCATTTCACAAGTAATTTTAATTTAATTTTATTATATTAGGGCTGCAAGATGAACTGAGGAATGGGATCCTTTGGTGTAGGTATGATGCACACATGAATGGACAATCCCTGTCCCAAAGAGATTATGACTGACACAAGATACAGGAACAATGGACACAGAATAGATGTATGCAGGCAAAGGGTGGGAGAAAGGTCTCAGCTGTGTGATGATTGTCTGAAAAAAAAGGGGCCAATTTTCAACTCTAAAACAGATTAAATAAGTCCCAACAGAAACAGGTTATCGTGAAAACAGCAGCTCTTAAAGGGCAGCAACACAACGGCATGCTAAAAATACACATGATTTGGCTTGATTGTCAGGAAGAAATTGAAGGCAGCTGCATGGGTAACGGTATTTTCTATTTTTGCAAAGTTTTCCCCTCTGCAAAAGCACACACTTACCAGGAAACTATAGAAGAATTCATGCACGCAGAGGCCCAGCATGCAGACCAGGACGTATGCTACGTGATATAGAAAAGCCATGTCCATGATGACTGCTCTGTAGCCACGTGTAAAAGTTCCACGGTTCCCAACAAAACTCACCAGAAACACTATTTTGTTACAAAGCTGTGGAGGGTAACAAAGGCTAGGTTTATTCCATCAGAAAAATCCTGTTATTTATTGTTTGCATTGCTGCAGCATGCAAAAAGTCTCGATGGGTGGCTTTGACTAACTGCATAACTTTTAGACAGCTGGAGTGAGATGAGAGAACTCCAGCTCCCAAGGTACACTGGGAATGAGAGTAAGCGGAAGTCCATCACCCCTCCAACACGGTGCTGTGCCTCACTACACTGAGATTTATTTCTCAAATTAGTGAGTAGGTAGGGTAGGATTAATGTCATAAGGCATTAAAAAACAACTGGGGAGTGAATTCCTAACACTTTTGAATTTAGGCCTGAGACTATGTCAGAGCAGCTAAGCATGCTACTACAAAGAGAACAATAGTAACACAACAGAAAATGTGGGGGAGTGTGTGTGTGAGATCTACTATTTCCTTCAGATCACGCTTTTCAATGCAAAAACCCTAAAAAAAAATACTGTGGGCATTTTTGAAGCAATAGATTTTCCATTGCTTCTGACCTTTGCCTACACATTTGCAGCAGTGCAGAAGTAAATACGGAAAGGGGCTAATCTCATGTGTTTGATAGTCCAGGACAGGCAATGAGGACTCAACATGTTTCCTTCTTTTATGAATTTGACATTGGCAAATGCTTTTATGCCTTTATCTTTGACTGCATGTCTGTGTACTTTTACATATGTAAAATTCTCACTGATCTGGTGGCAAATAGCCCAATACTTTGTGCTAGGGTGAACAAGAGCTGTAACAGTCAAGCAGAAGTCTAAATAGATGACTTGTGAGCATGACTACATATCTTACCAAGCTTAGTAAACATGCAAAATTATTCATGGCCAAGTATCTGGCAAAGGGCTGAGAGAATTTTTAATTTTGAAAACTTTTTTCTTCTCAGAAAGCTCACAGAAACATCTCACAAATTTCTGGTAACATTGCTGAGCATATTGGTAAAGAAAATAATTAACATGAGAAACTGTAAATTTGACTGCCCTTATTCAGCAATATTTCTTTAAATTTCATATTTTTGTTTTTAAAATATTTGCATATGCACAAAACCCAAACAGCTTTTTTCTTAGGTTCCCACTTTGCTGACACTGCTGTTTCAGGATGACTGGAAATGATTTATTTTTTTGGCTTAACCAGTGAACCAGAAAACAAAGTTCTTTGCACAGTTTTAATCAGGGGCTTTTTTTTTAAAAGGAGACCCTTAATATCTCTGCTTCTGCTGAAAGGGAAATTCTGCTAGTTTTTTAAGTACTTACATTAGCAGCACCAAGAAGTATCAAGGTAGGACCAAGCCCTATAGTATATATAGACCTGAGAATAACAGACACCAAAAAGGGTCGAATACCAACAGGCTTGGAGATGAAAAACAGCATTGCTGTACAAAACGCCACAGCTATCCAAAGGAGGACTGAAAACAACGGGGAGAGCGTGCCTGTAGAGAGGAAAAAGGGAGATTTGAGAAAGGTGTTTTTTGAGACTCCGCTTTTTCACCAAGAAAGAGATACAAAAGATCAGTTCCTCTGCCAATACAGCTAACAAAAAGTGTGATTCATGCATCACAACTGCTGACCACAACTTGCCCGAACTGCAGCAAGAAATGTTACCATAGCATTGTTGACTTTTTGCACAGGTAGTAATTATAGAATCACAGAATGTCAGGGGTTGGAAGGGACCTCAAAAGATCATCTAGTCCAGCCCCCCTGCCCGAGCAGAATCACCTACAGTAGGTCACACAGGAATGCGTCCAGGTGGGTTTTGATAGTCTCCAGAGAAGGAGACTCCACAACCTCTCTGGGCAGCCTGCGCCAGGGCTCTGTCACCCTCACAGTGAAAAAGTTTCTCCTCATGTTGAGGTGGAACTTCCTAAGTTCTAACTTAAACCCATTATTTCTCGTTCTAGTGCTGGGCACCACTGAGAAGAGATTGTCCCCTTCCTCTTGACACCCACCCCTCAGATATTTATATACGTTAATAAGATCCCCTCTCAGCCTTCTCCTTTCAAGGCTAAACAGCTCCAGTTCTCTCAGTGTCTCTTCATAGGAGAGATGTTCAAGTCCCTTAATCATCCTCGTAGCTCTCCGTTGGACTCTATCCTACTGGACTCTCTCTTACTGGAGAGAGCCCCTGTGTCTCTTGAATTGGGGAGCCCCAAACTGGACACAGGATTCCAGGTGTGATCTCACCAGGGCAGAGTAAAGGGGGAGGAGAATCTCCCTAGACCTGCTGGACACACTTTTCTTAATACACCCCAGGATCCCATTGGCTCTCTTGGCCACAAGGGCACACTGCTGTCCCAGGGACAACTTACTGTCCACTTGGACTCCAAGGTCCTTCTCCATGGGGCTGCTTTCCAGTGGGATGTGCCCTAATCTGTCCCAGTGCCTGGTGTTATTC